AGATTTTTCTATTAGAAGTCACAAGATAATGTTATATTCGTTTAGCCTGATCATAATAGAATATTTTTCTTTTGAAGATGAATTTCAGCACCCTTAGTTATTTAATGGAACAACAAATGTTCATGTCCTCAGCTTATCTTATGTTTACCTCATACTAATCTCATTCACTAATTAACTGTTTCTCATGCATTCTATTATAGTTATGGAGGAATGGTATTGTATTGCTTGCTTCCCAAGGTGCGAAGAAATTCATTGAATAGAAAATTTCCTCTCCGTATTAATTTGATCAAAACAATCTATCATAAGTAAATATGTTCTATACTTTTTGTGATGTTTTGTTGACTATCAATTAATACCTTGACTTAATCCATAGATATACGTAGATGTTGGAGATATTGATTGTGATTCATTAATAGAATATTGAATTTGATATTGTAAATCTTGTGCAATATTTTGATTTGTCATAGCATTGATTATTCTTAACGATTCATTGACAGAAGTGGGTACAGTTGTTTGAATTAATTCTTTGGCACAATCAATCCACGTTGTCGCAGTATAACAATGAATCGATGGTTTACTCAATCCTGCTCCTCGATATTGAAAAAGATACATTATTGGATGTGTCTGAGGATATGTTTGATGATAATTATTTTTAACAATTTGTTTCAGCATTGATATACCAAATGTTTCCATTCCATATTGAGAACCACCACCACCATTTGAAAGCCAATAATTGATGATGTGTTTGATAGTGGAAGTATTTCTTGGTGGGAAATTAGACAAAAATAAACGTTTCATATGTAGATCAGTCACGGGAATGGACTTTGTTGAATTGTAGTAGAAACCATCGAAAGTATTTGGATTGAATTCATTCCATTCAAGTGGACTTGTCAAATACATGCATTCAGCTTGAATAATCGTATTATTGTCTATGGTTTTATTAAATGATCCATCGTTAAATGGACAGAGATCCCAAGCCAAAGTTATTGAACATAAATTCAAAATAAAGAATAGCTGTAGTCGCCAAGTCATTGTTTTTTTATTTTGCGCCTTACTCGTAGATTGTCGACGTGTGAATAGATATGAGAAAAAAATTTTTCTTCTTCACAATATGTGACTAGAACAGTAAGTGTGTGCGCGTTCTGTCTTCTATTAGGTCAACTACTTATCGTTGAAGAACATGACAAATAATCAACAATTGTCATTACAACAAAGATAAATATCATGATGGTATTCATACAAGGAGTCAGCAATTGATGATAAGTTGCTCATATTTACTTGCTTCATAGGTCTCTCTCAAGCATGCATCGACCCTTGCCGAAGATTAAAACAATAACATTCGGCACAGTATTTAAATAGTATCTGATTTTGTATTCATGAAGATTTAATCTCATTAAAATACTACATGAAACAAAGCAACTGATTACTTACATTGCTAGATTAATTTAGTCGATATCTTAATTCAGTTATCTCGATGAAATTCTAGATGAAAAACATTAAATTAAAAAATTTCAACCCAGTATGTCAAACTAGATGGAACTTCTGACTTGTTTATAGATCATTTTTAGCCTCCACGAGAATCCTTATAACTTTCTTATTACAAGGAATAGAGAGAGAGAGAGCAGAGTGGTCTCAAATTAAAGTCAAAACTAGTACGCAGTTTTCCATTAGACATAAAACGACACTAAATTCGGCTTTTCTTGGCACAGAAATCAAATATTAAAAGTCCGGTGTATGGGGTGTGGGTGTAAACCTTCTTCTTATCTACAACCACACCCACACCCACACCTAAAATGTCTTGCTTCTTTCGGACAATTTAAATCGAAAATGAATAAGAAAAAAAATGAGATTATGCTGGTAGAAATATTCACTAATGGCTGGAACATCAAAGATAACTATAGATGAAAGATCTTTTTTGTGAGGTAGATTTAAAAACGTGATAAAGTCAATTGGGTGAGTATTTGTGATGGTACATAAAATGATAATGTTCGGTGAGGTTGTATGATTGGTTAAATCAAGCACAGAAAAGGGCAGGAACCTTTTTTTTGAGAAAAAATACTGATCTTAGAACCTTTTTCAGATATAAAATCAACTGCATAGCAGAATGCAGAAAAAAAATAATGGTTGAAAATCGGCAGCTATGTAAGAGATAAATGTATCATGTTTGATACCTTTTGACAATTCATATTTCGTACATCCACAATGAAGTATATGAAACCTGTATACAATCAAAAACGAACGTATTTTTTCTTAGTTGATACGGAACAATACGACCGTAACATTGAATAGTGTAGTAGTTTAGTAAACAGCAATTTATAGTTATGCACGAAAGTATTTGATCAGATTTTTTTAAAATCTATTTGTTTTGAAAAAGAATAAAGATATTATATGATAACTAAAAATATAAAAACAAAAAAAAAACATAATTCACATTTTATATCATAATACAGGAAGCGTTTCTCTTAATTTATAGAAATCTAATTCGAAGATAAAACTAATTAGGGTGTGGGTGTGGGTCACGTGGAAGAGAATAATCACACCCACGCCCTCATGTAACATAATCTGCAATTATTTGAACATCATATTCAACTGATTCATTTACTATTTTAAAATGTTCTGCAAAAAACAACTAACGAGTAAACTGCTTCAGATGCCTCCTTTCGATTTCAATGATATTCTTTTCCGCAAAACTCGTGTTGTCGAATTTTTATCTTAAACTTTGCATGTCTATGGAACTCAAGCAGACTAGCTTCCATGAAGAAATTGAGAAGTTTTGAACAAAATCTTCTCGACATATGAAGCTTTCAAAAAATACATACTGTATATACTATTAATGGAATAGGATCTATATGTTATATGTTTCAGCACATGTCGATGGTGGCACTCTTATTTAAACCATCACACTGCGGAAGATATTTCAAGAGAACTATTGCAGCAGCGGACAGTTTCTAACGGAGGTGAATATCTCTGGTATGTCATATATCTTGAAGAGACTTTGTTCAAAACTTTTGAATTTAAGCTAGTCTAGAAAATACGTAGACATAGAGTATCGTCAAATCTTGATAAAAAAATCGAAATCGTTTAAGAATTTACATTAGAATTTTATGTTGTATGTATAAGCAAAAAATAACTGAAATCAGAAGAAAGTATCTTCGAAGATTCTCTTGTAAGTTTCAAAATTTTGCTAAAATTTATCTGAGAAAAAATGAGCAATTTTCAAAGTGTCTGAATGTTCTTCATGAATAATTTCGAATGTAATTGTTCTTTTATGATATTATATTTTGACTTAAAATTAATTGAAAGATAAACATCAATATTCTTTGTTATTTTGCCGTATTTTCTACTAAAATCTGGAAAATATCCCTGATTGATTAAAATTCCGTCAATTATTAAACTCTAAACAAGTCAATTATATTTAACAATAAATACAAATGTTTCTAATAGAAACGGTAAGTGAAGAGTTTATTATTGGTAAAAATCAAATAAAATCATTCTTCTAATAGAAATGGACCAAGTAAAATTCACCAAATAAAAATTTTGTATTTAAAGTAATTATTCTTATACCAATCTTGTGACTTATCCTTAAATAATTAATATTGTCTAGTATAATTTAAAAAATATCCATGATATAACAATTTTTCATATATCATAATTAAAATAGTAATCCAATTGAATCGAATTAAAAGAATGAAAATATTTCATAATGATGTTACATGACGCCGAATAAATAAATTCTGTGATGTTGAAACTATTGGTTGAAGATGTTTCTGAACTGCTAAAATAGATACAAATTGAGATCATCAAAAACACTATCACCTCCATTAATGTAGCTTGCCGGAGAAACGGAAGCGACTCTACTCTTTTGTTAAACACGATTTATAAGAAGTGTTTAGTTGTAGTGGTAAAAGTTAGGATCGTTTTCACCGACGGATCATTCCAGACACATTAGAAACGGTTCATCACAACCATGGCAGACATCTTAGCAAAGTCTTTCCCAATTTCAAGTCACAGACCGTATATCAATAATGTCTCGTCATACCATATGAACTAACTAGTTCTGTTTTCGATTTTTAGAGGCTACATACCAGTTACTTTTATGACTAAAGAAAAAATAAAGTATTTTAATCATTAGAGGGTGTAGGGTAGGCATGACGACTAGAACAACATCCACCCACACTCTAATTTCGTGTTGAAAAGATCGACCATTGTGTAAATAGGATGGATGTTCATGATAATAAGTATCTTTTGTTGGAGCTTTTTCAGCAATATAACAAATTAAACAATATAATTTTGGTTGTGATTCTCCTGTGTCAATTTGTTCATTTGATAATGTTAACATCATATCGTCATTCATAACTTGCCAATAGATATATAAACAGTAATGTCACTCGATACTTTTGGATGATCGATTATACAGTGTTCATATGCTTGCGAAATTGTTAGAGGTAGTAAAACAAAATGGTCAGTAAAATCAGTTGATGGCATTGTTATAACGGTTCTTTGAATAGGTCTTGAAAGTGAATGAATATCACATTTAGCAAATTCATCAATTAAATCTTTAATAACAAAATCTTGGTAGACTTTTGGTAATTCAAATAATTCAATCGAAATTTGATTATCAAACATAGTTTTGATTGTCTGACGAGTGTTAATCAAGTGGGATAATTTGAGGTAAATGAGCTTCAATGTTTCATATGAGAATCAACGGTAATTCAACAATGAAGAATTGTTTTTAAATCAATATTCATGGTTTTCTTCTTTAAAGTTTAACAAGTCGTAGCAATAAGTTCAAGAGCAGTTGCATATTTATAACCTACTACTGATGCATGTAAGTTTTTATTGTGAAACAATTTAATTCGATCATCTTTTAAATCTGAATTATTATCTCAACATGGACGCCATTTGAAAGTTCGTCCATTAGCATATGATGTTGCAGCTTGTATAGAAAAAATTGCATCAGGCTAAAGGAGAATTTTCCGTTTGAAAACAATAAATACATCTCGACATTGACTCATGTTTGGTCCAAGTATACTGAAAATATTTTTGTTTATTCCTAAATAACTATCACTATCATAGCCAATACCATCTGGATGTGAATGAAGTTTCATAGAAGCTTGAGTTATTTCAATAGAGATTATTTTTATTGCTTCCATATCATTTGGAAAAAGAATCGATGAAAGAATGACTTCATTGTTCTTAATCAATTCTTTTCGAGATTTCGATTTGACTGTATGAGGAGATGATGATTTATCCTTTGTTATTGTCTAATCAGAATTTTTATTTTCACTTTGTTTTTTTTTTCGAACTTTTCTATCACCAAAGCTGTTAAGAATTTTTTTATATGGTTTGCACAATTTTTCTCTTTAAAATATTTAATTCTTCGTAGTCGATTATGTTGAAGAATAGAATCAATAATACGTAGTGACTTTTTAAAATGTTTTCATGTAATCTCGATTCATAACATGTTCATGAAGAAGTATTGACTGATGTTAATGTTTCCCATTGTTTTGTTTTTACATAACGTGTAATAGCTTTTATGCTGTTCAATTCATTTAAAACAAAATTAATATTTTTATTTAAATTATAATAACGAACAACACCACTAACTTCATATGTAATTGTATGTAGAAATTTCGCTAGATGCATTGGATTTCGTCGATCGTTACATTTATCAGTATGTTTACAAAGGAGACGAATATCACGAATGTTCGAATGTGAAAATGAATTCAAATGATCTTCTGGAACAAAGTTTTGTACATTGATTACCATGTGAACAAAGAGAACGTCGTATATGAATTAATTTGTTTCAATGTGAAAGATTTTGATCGGTATAATTTTGTCCGAATCGATATACATGAGAAAAATTAAGACAATATTGTTCGATTTCATCTGAAATAGTTTCAGTTTTATTTGTCGTTGTAAATTGTTCGTGTAATGGACAATAAGATATAGTGCCCATCTAGATAGGGTTAAAAACAGATGTTTGCATTTTTTTAATATGTTATTTATCATGAAAATGAACACAAGAATTCCGAAGTTGACAAGGATTAAAATGACGAAATTATGCACAATAACTTTTAACATGTTTTTTGATATTCTAAACATTTTTGAAAATCTTTACATAAAGGTAAATATCGATATCCGTTTTCATGATCATCATTTGTATCTTGACAATTTCTTTCATTTGGACAATAAGATGGATGTTCATATTCTTGAAAATGTTTATCATTATCAATACCTTTATATAGAGCACCATATTTACATGGATTTCAATGAATTATTTGAAGTCATATGAATAATATCATCAATTTGTTTACAAATATCTGTCGAATATAGTTTATTGGTGAGAATGCTTTGAATCATAAATTTTATTACACTGCACATCAAAATGACAAGGTTCGAAATCAAAACTAGTGACATCAGATACAGTTGAACCCTCTGATGATACTCGATAAGGACCAAACATTGTATTTGATTGATTTAATGGTAAAATTGGTTTCAAATTTAGTCCATCTAATTCATCTTCAAATGATTTAAAATTTCCTTATGAATTATGTTGTCGTCCACTAATTTAATCATTAATAATAACAAAAATAATTGTTTGAAAAAACCTAGCACATTCTTCAATAATTGAGCTAAATAATTTTGAAACACAATCAGTCTTTAAGTCTGAAAGTGCATAAATTTGACCATTATGTGAACAATAAAATCGTTCTGATCTTTTCTCTTGAATATGATTAAGTTCAATAACAAGACTTCGAATATAATCTGATCGTCAAAAAAAAAGGTTTTCTTCTTGTGCTCCATCACCTTTTCTATAATCACCATCTGGACTTGTTGTACTTGCCATATTTAAAAGAATTAAATGTTAGGAAATTGAATTCTAACTTGATCACATGAGCGAAGTGTCTTCCGATTATAGAATTTGATTCATCGATGTAGGCTTTCTTCAAATTTTGATAAATCGACATATTTATTTTTGTTTGTTCGATCAATAACAATATATGAAATAAGTTTAACTATATCATTGAATGAAATCATCGATGCATCCCCTGTTGGATCTAATAGGGTCTTTGAATAAAATCTGATGCTCATTGCCATAGTTTGAAAAGGTTTTTCTAGGCAATTGTAAATTAAACTTGCTAAATAAGCATCATTATCGATATTTGATGGTAAATCACAAATGTACCCTAATGAGTTTTTGCTTCGAGAACGTAAAGAATAGAATGTTATGTAAATATGCGCTTTCATAATTATTATTTACATTGAAAAAATAAATACGTTGTTATCGAGAGATCATACGAAGCACTGCGTAAGAGCTTGTGTACTACAGAAATATGCACCGTATCTGAAAAAACAAGATGAAGGGGGCACCAAGGTGATCACTGCCTGAGAACTGTTTTGGCTGGTGGCAAAATTACCCTTGCTTCCTTTATATTGAATGATGCAAGGAAAAGGAAGGCTGCTTGACCGTTGAGCCTACTGCTAACTGAAAATTTTTTCTACATTTTAATATTTAAAATCTTCAGTTTCAAAGACTCATGTGTGGAGAATGAGATAAAGTTGAAAATACCACGAAAGAATATTCAATTAAGCAAGATATAACTAAACATTGATGTACGTAAAATTTTTGAAATAAAAGCAATATTCGGCTACGATTTATTTTACTAGGAAAGTGAAGTTAGAAGGCGAATACGGTAGTTAGATTGAGCATGTTAACGTAGCAGCATAGGAAATCTAACTAATACAGATTTTTCGTATATTAGCAACCTTAATAAATCAAACATAGCGTAATTTTACTGTACATCAGAGACGTACTCCGCTCGCAACTCTTATCATGGCAGTTATTAAACTACATAGCTAGGAGTTTATTTAAGAATGAATGCGCAGTAAACGCTGACAGTAAATGATAAGCAATCTTAATTAAAAAGTATTCTGATAAAAAGTAAACCTATCTAAATGCTAAGTGAATTTCATCGTGACGTGTATAAAATTCAAATTTGTCCTAGACCTAAATTTGCACCAAATTAATTACAAAATAGATTAAAATTTTACGTACATCAATGTTTAGTTATATCTTGCTTAATTGAATATTCTTTCGTGGTATTTTCAACTTTATCTCATTCTCCACACATGAGTCTTTGAAACTGAANTGTTCTAGTGAATATATAGGGTAACAATTTACTTAAGTAATGATGTAAATGGCAGCTCTCTGGCATTTTCTGTTCTTGAGTTATTCCAAAAATATCCACGGTCAGTCTTTTTTTGAACAGACAGTAGTTCGAAGTGCTCTGAAGGAGCTGAAACTAACTTCAAATACAAAGTATGCCATTTTCCCCTTTTAAACTCTACTTTTCAACCGGAATATCATTAATAATTCTTTTAGGATGGCTTAGCACTAGTGTCATGAATACTGCAAGATATTATCATACATCATCCGTATTAAACAATGGTAAAGTATTGGTCACTGGTGGATTGAGTAATCCTGGTGTTGTTTATCGAAATGATGCCGAATTGTATGATCCATCGACAGAAACTTGGGCAGCGACCACTAGTATGAATAATGCACGATATCTACATACATCATCCGTTTTAACAAATGGGAAAGTGTTAGTTACTGGTGGATCGAATGGTTCTTATCTAAATAGCTCTGAGTTGTATGATCCATCAACGGGAACTTGGTCAACAACAGGTAGTATGAATGATGCACGATTTGGACACACATCATCCGTCTTTACAAATGGGAAAGTGTTAGTTACTGGTGGATCGAACGGTCTTTATCTAAGAAGCACTGAGTTGTATGACCCATCAACAGGTACTTGGACAACGACGAATAGTATGAATAATGTGCGACATCTACATACAGCATCTGTATTAGCAAATGGAACAGTGTTAGTTACTGGTGGGTATAATGGTACATCTTATTTGAATAGTGCTGAGTTGTATGACCCATTAACAGGAACTTGGACCATGACTGGTAGTATGAATGATATACGACATCACCACACAGCTTCCGTCTTAACAAATGGAAAAGTGTTAGTTACTGGTGGTTACAGCGTTGGAACCATTAATCTGAATAGTGCCGAATTGTATGATCCATCAACACGTACTTGGACAATGATGAGTAGTATGAGTGAGGCACGAAGTCAACACACAGCATCCGTATTAACAAATGGAAAATTGTTAGTTGCTGGTGGATGGAATGGTATTTCTTCTCTGAATAGTGCTGAGCTGTATGACTCATTAACAGGAATTTGGACAATGACTGGTAACATGAATGATGCTCGAAGTATGCACACAGCGTCAGTAATAAAAAATGGCAATGTGTTAGTTACTGGTGGATACGGTTCTATGACTCTGAATAGTTCAGAGTTATATTAATTTTCTGAAACAAATGGACAATCAATAATTCTAGAGTGTGCGTATGGGTGTGAGTCTAAATCTAAACCTATCGAACATAGACAGCCCACACCCACACCCTAAAATAATGATTATGACTCCATTGAATTGACTACTGTTAATTCAATGATCGACTTTTCTTTTAATTGATCCACTTCTAATATAAATTGGCCATCCACAATAGAAATAAAAGTAATTTCACGTCTAAATTTATTACCTTTATTCCAGTCAGCTTTTTTTTCTACTATTGAGTTCCATAGATTAGTATAACTTGGAAAATAATTATATTTGTCAAAAACCAAAATAACTTATTGTAATTGTTAAAATAATGAAACAATAACGTATGAAAAATTAAATTAATTTCTACGAAAAAAAAATATTAGCATTGGTATAATATACAGAGAAGTTACTTCTATGACAAGTGGAAAAAGTGTAAAAATATAATGAAGTTCAATATTACAGATGGTGCTCAAAAATCTAAAAATGTTCATGTTACTGTACCAAAAAAATAAGTATTTGTCCATGTAACGTAATCTGCAGTTATTTGAATATCATATTCAGCTGATTCATTTATAATTTAAAAACATTCTGCAGATAAACTTAACGAGTAAGCTGCTTCATATGTATTCTTTCAGTTTCAATGATGTTCTATCCTCGTGTTCTGATAAAAACCCTAAAAGCATTTGGTTTCCTATTGAAATTTGATTAAGCTATTGAATTTTTTATTGCCTATTTTCTAGAGATCCCTGTTTTTTGGAAAACTTCTACTTTCGAATTTTCATTTTAAACTTTGCGTATCTTTCGAATTCAACCAGACTAGCTTCCATGAAAAAATTGAGAAGTCTTGAACAAAATCTCCTCGATACATGAAGCTTTCAAAAAATGCATATTGTATATACTATCCATGGAAAAGAGTCTATATGTTGTATGTCTCCGAGATATCGATGGGAGCACTCTTATTTAAGCCACAACAGTGCGGAAAATATTTTAAGAGAATCATGTTGAATTTTACCTAGTCTAGAAAATATACATATAGCATCGTCAAATCTTAATAAAAAATGTAGATCTTTTAAGAATTTACATTAGAATACTATGTATAATAGTATGCATAAGCAAAAAATCATTGAAATCAGAAGGAGGCATCTTCGAAGATTCTCTCGTAAGCTTCAAAATTTTGCTGAAAGTTATGTGGGAAAAAATGAGAAATTTTCAAAGTGGATGTCTGAACATTATTCATCAATGATTTCGAATGTAATTGTTCTTTATTTGATATTAAATTTTGAATTGAAATTAATTGCAAGATAAATATCAATATTCTTTCTTATTTTTCGGTATTTTCTACTAAAACCTGGAATATATTCCTGATTGATTAAAATTCCGTCAATAATTAAACTCTAAACAATGTCAATTATATTGAACAATAAATACAAATGAAGAGTTTCTTATTGGTAAAACATAAAATAAAATCATTTTTCTAATAGAAATGGACCAAGTAAAATTGACAAAATAAAAATTTGATATTTAAAGTAATCATTCTTATATCAATCTTGTGATTTATCCTTAAGTAACTGATATTGTCTAGTATAATTTAAAAAATATCCATGATATAACAATTTTTCATATATCACAATTAAAATAGTAATCCAATTGAATCGAATTAAAAGAATGAAAATATTCCATAATGAAGTTACAGGATGTCGAATAAATAAATTCTGTGATGTTGAAACTATTGGTTGCAGATGTTTCTGAACTGCTAAAATAGATATAAATTGAGATCATCAAAAACACTCACCTCTCCATCAATGTAGTATGTCGGTGAAACGGGAATGACTCTACTCTTTTGTGAAACACGATTTATAAGAAGTATTTAGTTGTAGTGATAAAAGTTAGGACCCTTTTCACCGACGGACCATTCCAGACACATTAGAAACGGTTCATCATAACCATGACAGACATCTTGGCAAAGTCTTTCCCAATTTCAAGTCACAGACAGTATATCAATAATGTCTCGTTATACTATGCGGACTAGTCCTGTTTTGAACTTTTAGAGGCTACATACCAGTTACTTTTATGATTAAGGAAAAATAAATTATTTTAATCATTAGAGGGTGTGGGGTGGGCATGACAAATAGAACAACACCCACACTCTACTTTCATGTTGAAAAGGTCGACCACTGTATAAATATGATGTATGTTCATGATAATAAGTATCTTTTGTTGAAGATTTTTCAGCAATATAACAAATTAAACAATTTAATTTTGGTTGTGATTCTCCTGTATCAATTTGATCGTTTCATCATTTTAACATCATATCGCCATTCATAACTTGTCAATAGATATAAACTGGAATGTCACTCGATATTTCTGGATGATCGATTATATAGTGTTCACATGTTTGTAAAATTGTTAGAGGTAAAACAAAATGATCAGTAATATCAGTTGATGGTATTGTTATAACAGTACCTTGAATAAATCCTGAAAGTAAATGAATATCACGTTTATCAACTTCATCAATTAAATCTTTAATAATAAAATCCTGGTAGACTTTTAGTGATTCAAATGATTCAATCGAAGTTCGACTATCAAAATAGTTTTGATTTTCTGACGAGTCTTAATCAAGTGGAATAAGTTGAGGTAAATGAGCTTCAATGTTCATATGATATTCAACGGCAATTCGACGATGAAAGATTGTTTATAAATCAATATTCATAGTTTTCTTCTTTAAAGTTTGACTAGTCGTAGCAATAAATTCAAGAGCAGTTGCATGTTCATAACCTGCTATCGATGCATGTAATTTTGTATTGTGAAACAATTTAATTCGATAATCTTTTGAACTTGGATCATTATATAATCATGAGCACCATTCGAAAGCTCTTCCATTAGCATATGATATAGTAGCTTGCATAGAAAAATTTGAATCAGGCTGATGAAGAATTTCTCGTTTGAAAACAATAAATACATCTCGATATTGACTCATATGTGATCCAAGTATACTAAAAAAAACAATTTTATTTGTTCCTAAATCTTTATCACAATCATAGCCAATGTCAGATGGATGTAAATGACACTTCATAGAAGCTTGGATGATTTCAATAGAGGTTATTTTTATTGCTTCTATATGATTTGGAGGGAAGAGTTGATGAAAGAATGACTTCTTTGTTCTTAATCCATTCTTTTCGAGATTCCCATTTGACTGTATGAAGAGATAATGATTCATCTTTTGTTATTGTCCTGTCAGAATTTTTATTCTCAATTGTTTTTTTTTCGAACTTTTCTGTCATCAAAGCTGTTAAAAATTTCTTTATATGGTTTGCACAATTTTTCTTTTTAGAATATTTAATTCTTCGTAGTCGATTATGTTGAAGACTAGAATCAATAACACATTGTGACTTTTTAAAATTTTTCATATAATCTCAACTCATAACATGCCCATGAAGAAGTATTGACTGATGTTAATGTTTCCCATTTTTTTGTTTTTACGTAACGTATAACAGATTCTATGTTGTCCAGTTGATTTTGAACAAAATTAATATTTTTACTTAAATTATAATAAGGAACAACACCACTATCTTCAAATGTAATTAAATGTCGAAATTTTGCTAGATGTGTTAGATTTCGTCGATCGTTACATTTATTAGCATGTTTACAAAGGAGACGAATATCACTAATGTTCGGATGTGAAAATGAATTCAAATGATCTTCTTGAAGAAATTTGTGTACATTGATTACCATGTGAATAAAGAGAACGTTGCATATGAATTGATTTTTTCGAATGTAAAAGATCTTTATTGGTATAATTTCAAGACAATGCAGTTCAACTTCATCTGAAATAGTTTCAGTTTTATTTGTCGTTGTAAATTGTTCGTATAATGGACAATAAGATATGGCTCCGTTCTATATAGGGTTGAAAACAGATATTTGTATTTTTTAATATGTTGTTCATCATGAACATGAACGCAAGCATTTTTAAGTTGACAAAAAAAGGATTAAAATGACAAAATTATTCACAATGACTTTTAGTATGTTTTTGATATTCTAAAAATTTTTGAAAATCCTTACATAAAGTTAAATATCGATATGCTTTTTCATGATCATGATTTTGTATTTTGACAATTTCTTCCACTTGGACAATAAGATGGAAATTTCATATTCTTGAAAATGTTTATTATTATCAATATCTTTAGATAGAGCGCCATATTTACATGGATTTCGATGAATTAATAAAAATATATCAATAATATCATTAATTTGTTTACATGTACCTGTCAAACATAGTTCTTTACGCAATGGTGGATGAGAATATTGCAGAGAATGCTTTAAATCATAAATTTCATAACACTGCGTGTCAAAATGACAACGTTCGAAATTAAAAATCGGGACATCAGATACAGTTAAAACATCTGATTGATACTCAATAAAGACCAAACATTGTATTTGGTTGACTTAATAGTAAAATTCGTTTTAAATTTCGTCCATCTAATTCATTTTTGAATGATTTAAGATTTCCTTGTGAATTATGTTGTTGTCCAGTATTATGACCATTAATAATAGCAAAAAACAATTGTTTGAAAAAATCCAGCATATTGTTCAATAACTGAGCAAAATAATCTTGAAACACGATCAAGTGTTAAGTCTGGAAGACCATAAATTTGACCATTATGTGAGCAATAAAATCGTTCTGATGTTTCCTCTTGAATATGATCAAGTTCTATATCAAGACTTCGAAAATAATCTTATCGTCGAAAAACAAAATTTCTTCTTGTGCTCCATTACTTTTTCTATAATCACTACCTGTATTTGTTGCATTTGCCATATTTAAAAGAAGTGGTTTCTTATACTTTCTTGAAAATTCTTCATATATTATAATATAACTCCAATCGTATTTAACATAACAGTTATTTGAAGTAAAATGACGAATTTGATCTGATGATATACTTGATCGATGTCTTGAATCAACATTAGTCCTACGATATTGACATTATGTACTTTGAAATACTTGAAAAGTTAGATTTCAAGTTTTGACTTTCCAATAAATATAGTCATTCTCTCGATGTGGGTGTGGGTTAGAATGGGTGTGTAGATGTACATACATTCTGCACCCACACGCACACCCTGATTTCTTGATCTTTTTTTCTCACTCACTATAGTGAAACACGGCGTAGTATGAGGAAGACAAAAAGATGTGCTAGGACTGACGAAAAATCGATAAAGACTGTGATTGGTCGAAAAATACAGTCGGCGTTTTCTAATTGGCCGATTTCTTGTCCAATAAGATTGCGAGTAGCAGCAACAATTAATTGAGACTCCTATCTTCAGAAAAGAATATAATTGGAATGCATTGGAAAACTTAGAAATCCCAAATCATTTTTCTCGTCCCCCCCTCCCTGCTTTGAAGAATCAATACTCTATAGGTGATGAATTGCGTTACTTTCAAAAGTAACTTCCTTCTTCTTTCTTTCCTAATTTCCTCGAATGATTCCAGCTAAGTTATTCACTTCTGCTCAGACTTTTGTCCTCTTTTTCTATCCATACACAATACATGGGATTTCGTTTGCATGTTGAAAACAAGTGAAATACTCGCTTCTGAACATTACGGTAATTTCAAACTCCTACATTCAACATTTGCAACGATAGCCACAGACCTCAGTTGTCCTGTTCGCCAATTAATAAAAATTATTTGATCCATTTTTAAAGTTCGAATCTAGATTTTTTGGAAGATTGCTGATGAGTGGGTGAATGGTCGATTATTCATATGCAAATGACACATATTAAGCAGAACCATCATAGAATAATCTAGTTGATAAATTCCAAAACTGTTCGTTTCATTAGAATGCATTCATTATAGATTTTATAGTGTGCACAAGTTATAGAATGATCACATGAAGTCCATATAAGGAATAGCCAACCTTCAAAATATTATAAGACTTAGTTTCGTATCGGAAGACACATGATTAGAGAGAAAAAGTGATTAAAGTTACCAAAATTTGCTTTGCGAACTTTGTACTCTTATGAGCTACTAATGACATCAAATCTAAGACGCAGTTATCAGTTATATGGTAAAATAACTGTAACTTCTGTGTTCTACTTCTGACTTTGAAACGAGGCTGGTAGCTACTAAACGTCGCATTGGATTACTAGAGAACAACTTTGTCCTTTTTAGCTCATGGTTTTGGTTATTTTATAGTCTAATCTTACTCTACCATTCTTCTCATTTTTTATGCTGAGACCCACTTATAGCTTTATAACCAAAATGATAAATTACGAGAGGATCTGTCATTGTATAATACCTTTGAAGTATAATTCACATGTTCATGATAGTGAAGCATCTTTTTATTAAATATGGATAATCATTTTTTTTAACGAAACCATTCAGATCTTACACACATACACACTCACATACAAACAAACAAATGCTAAAAACGATCGGAGCCAATGAGAAGATTACTGTTTGCTACAGGATTCATGTTAAGCAGAACAAACCACGGTCGTTGTTATATGATTACTATTGACGTTAAGTTTCTACATAATCATTATAGTAGAATGTACAAAAATAGATTTTTTTTCAGAAGAGGAAAACATGCTATAATCGACAACTAAAGATAAATGACTAAACCATTAACTTTCACCATTTGTGCATCGATCAAGAAACGTATC